AAAATCCTGTGGTCAAATAAAAATCAACCTTTCTTTAGACTGATGTTTCTCAAATATATTTAACCTGACCCCTTTCAAAGAACCAGTGTTGGTAACCTCTGCCTTAAGCTTTTAGTAACTAACATCTGAAAGACCCACAGCTGGTAATAAGGCCCTGGAAAGGAACAAAGTTGGTCCACAGCCTCAGGGAGAAAAAAATTAAAATTAAAGAACATCACAAACATTCACCACCCTTTCTAGGAAGAGAGGGGGGCAGGAATCAAAGAGGATTATAAGATAGAGTTCTAGTCCAGAAATCCATTTACAGTTGAGAAGAAAATAATCACAAATAAATACTAAGAAAATATAATGAAGAATACCTAACCCAACCTTGGTAGCAGAGAGAAACAGGGACACAAACTGGCTAACAAGGTTTCCTGAGAAAGAAATGTCTGAGACTTAGCTCACAACAGGAATTAGATAGAGGTTGGAGAATAGCATTCAACACAAAGGGAGCTTCAAAGGAAAAGACACTGAGAGATGCAAATCAAATCTCCCTAAAATATCATTTTTCACCTACTGGGTTAGTAAAGATTCCAAAATTTGATAAACAGTTTATGAAAACACAGGTACCCTCACACATTGCTGATTAAAGTAAACTGGTATAATCTTTTAAGGCAATTTGGCAATACTTACTAAAATTTCATATGCTTGTGCCTTTTGACTCAGCAATTCCACTTTTAGGTATTTATCTTAGAGCTTGATTTACACACATATAAACACAAATTTTATTCACTGAAGAATGTATTTAATAGAAGGTCAAATCAATTGAAGTGTTAAATAATGTGCACATAATGGAATAACATGAAATAGACACTATTAAAGAATGAGAGTGTTCTTTATGCCAATCTCCACAAATACCATTAAGCTAAAAAAAAGTGAAGAGTAATTTAAGTAGTATGTTATCACTGAGTAAAAAGGGATGGGGTAAAGAATGTTTCCACTGCTGATGTGTATATACAGACTATTTCTATAAGGAAACAGAAGAAACTGATGTTAGTTGCAGGGACCAAAACCGAATGACAGATGACAAAAGAAAGTCTTTATTGTATAATATTTTGTATCTTTTACATTTTGAGCCATTTTAATGTGCTACTGATCCATAAATAAATTATATCAGCATGACATCTAATGGAAATTAAAACTGTTTAAAATTGCCAAAATATAAAATTCAAGACAAGTGATCAGAAATGAAGCTCACGAGGCTGACAGACACCCCAGTCCAGAAAGGAATCATTGTTGAAACTACAACAGTGTTTCTCAAAGTGTGAGCAGGGAGCCACTTACAAACCTGGGGAGCTGGTTAAAAAACACAGAACCAGGGAATTAGGCCAAAGAATTAGAAATGTTAAGGGTGTGGTTCAGAGAAACAAAGTCTGGGAATTCTCCACCAGTCAAATCAAAATCTTGTGGGCTAACATTCAAACATCTGCACTTTAACAAGTTCCCTAGGTGACAAAAGGTTATGGAGCTGTTGAGGAGTTGTAAGCAGAAGAGCTAAGTGACCAGATGTTCAGTTTTAGATAGACCACTTTGGTGCCTGGGTCTAGAAGATTTGAGAGGAGTAAGCTTCAGTTAGAAAGAAGGGTCTGGCAGTACTCCAAATGATGTTCTTTAATTTGATAAATATTCACACTGTATACAATACACTTACTGCATACCATGTGGCAAAAGTATTATCTGCCTTAGAGCTACAACCTAAGCTGCATGATCTTTTTCAGGAAACAAAGAAAACAAATCCAAGGCACTGCACCTCCCAAATCAGTTAAGAAGGCAATAAATAGGAATAATTTATATACAATAATAGAGGTGCTATTAAATGAAATTATTCTATTCCATTATTAATTTTATTTAAAAACCTAAAACTAAAAAGGGGAACTATTAAAGTTGCCTCTGAAATTATGAGACTTAGAATGAAGTTGATGAAACTGATTCCTTATTTGATATATATAAAAAGACATGGGCTGGGGCTGTAGCTCAGTGGCAGAGCACTGGGTTCAATCCTCAGCACTGCTTACAAATAAAAAAATAAGGCATGCTGTCCACACACAACTACAAAAAAAAATAAAGAAATTTAAATCAAATTTTTTCTTTGGCCAATTAGATATGTTTCTGGTATCAAAACCCTTTCCAAATTAGTTCTGTTTCATCTAAAGATATAATTTGTGATTATTGTGGAACCTGATTAAAAGTTTCACATCTACCAACATCTACATCTCTCATAACACAAATAAACTGTAGTAATAGATTCATTGATTATTGCAAAGTCATGAGACAAGAGAGGTAAAATCCTTGACTAAAAATTTGTTCAATCAATAGGCAGAAAAGCAAGACTCAGAAATATAAAGCAGTATAAAAGAGTAACTGAAAGTCAAAAGTTTAACCCAGCTTGAAGGACATAATCCTGTTCTCTCTACAGGTTTTTATCAACTAAAAAGATATTTCCTCTAATTGCTTATTTCTACAAAGTTAGAAACCCAGGAGGCTTGGGGTATAAAAGTACACAGGCACTCTGACTTTCATCTGCCATTTGCATTTTAACAAGTACCCTAATAGAGATCTATTTTACATTAAAAACAACAACAACAAAAGAGAATGTTTTGATACAGAATCAAGTTACTGTGACACGTGCCAGAAGAGTATTTGGCCATTTCTTTAATATTCAATTCACATAATTAATATATCTTAACAATTCACCCCAACAATACAGCAAACAACATTTATGTTCTTATCATGTCTATTAAGAATTCCATGTTAACCTCACACAGCCCAGTATTCTTTGGCCTGTTCTGTTCCTGACCTCTGATCTGAGCTATATCTAATGTTACTGCATTGTTGAATATTAGCCTTAACATAAATGTAAAATAATTTATTATTAGTTAGGAACTAATCCAATAAAATTATAACACCATCATCAGCAAAAACTATTCCACGGCCTGACGATTACAAAACTGTATTTTATGGTCCATTAGTTATACTTCAAAGCTTTCTTTTTCAAAACAGAATTACCTAGCAATAGACAAATATTTACCTATCAGCGATTTCCACATTCAGAGAGGGTACACTGGTAGTTTGCTTTTTAAAGACTTAACTGATTTCTCTACATAGTTTTTATTAGTAGCAATCTTGTTCAGAAGTCCAAGAGTTCATCCCAATTCAGATGCCGCCTATTTTCCTGAAGCCTTGAAAAATGTTAGCACTAGAAAGGACCTTGAAGGCTATCTACTCCAATACTAGCATTTCTTCTACAGAATACTGAAAGCTGAAAATACTAAACAAAGTGTATCATTTTCACCCAGAAGTTAAAAATAGGAAGTTAACCACACAGAAGCAGAGCCCAGAGCTCCTGACCCCCAACCCCCCACTGTTTGATTATACCCATTGAGTGTACTACTTCAATTCTTTCTTTTTGGGGTGTTTTGTTATTGTTGTTGTTGTTGTTTTAGTGTACTACTTTAGCTTGGACAAAAATTGTATTAAAACACTATGCATTCCTGACATTTAAGTTTCTAAAAAGTGAACCTTGCTAAATTAGGCATACAATCCAAAAGACACACCCCTTTCCCAAAATAGAAACAATGTACTTTCATCTGACTTTACCATTCCCTACCTCACCCCAATTTCAATCTCTTAACACAAGCTCAACTACCCTAGTCTCCTCTTCACTGTTGATTTTATTCTTTAAATGCTCCAGGTGTTTTATATAAACTGCTACCTTCAAACACTTAGAAAATAAATCTGCCCCTAAATTTCCATCAGGTGAATGAAGGAGCCCTCTTGGATTAACCCATCCAAGAAGATTTAGTACTTAAGCAAAGATTCACAGTTGCATTTTGATGTCTACAAAATGACTATGCTGAAGATTACAAAGAAAACCAGGTGTTTAGAACAGGCGGCCTACTAGAGTATTAAACTCATAACAATTAAATGCAGTTAGTTTCAAAGCCTTTGATGCACAGATCTCTAAAAGATTTTTCAGAACATATTGGTCTTGGCAGTATGAGTCACTCTCCATTTCCAAAAGCTGGTGAATACGGACATGGAATCAAAAATTTTCAAAAGGCCGGGGGCGTGGTGAGGGGGGGGGAGGTGGCAGTGTCCAACGCAGTGTTCTACCCCTTGTATTTATATACTTCGTAAAGATATTAATATACTAAATATAGTCTACTGTGGAGGCATGACATTAGAGACATGGGCTTTTTTATTTCACATGTTACCCGAGCTACTTGCTCCTTTTACTTTCTAACTTTTCACTTAAAAACATATATTGAAGTTTAATCTCCTCCTTTGCCCTTCCCAACACCAGACACCCGTGCTTTGAAAACAAACTAAGACCACTGTCTAACAGCCACCATTCCAGCATGTTAAAAGCGGGCTTTCCCGGAGTGTCCCAGGCCTGGGCGGTCTGGCAAAGTAAAAGGGGGTGTGTCCGCAGTACCTTCGCCCTCTTTTCCGCAGCCCACTAAGGCACTCAGAGGCCCACTTTCTCGCAGCGGCTTCGGGAGCTGTTTCCAGGGCGCCCGGATCTCAAGCCACCCACCCACCTTTCTGGGGGCTGGAGTTGCTTTTCACCTCGAGGGGATGACAGCAGCGGTGGAGAGAGCACAAGTGAACCCCCAAGCCCCTCTCTACGGAGCCACACAGTAGCCCCTTTTCCCAAAATAAGGCAGCCTCGGCCCCCCTGCCTGGAGGTCTCTGCGCTCACCCGGACCCGTCCCCTCGCCCATCCCATCCAAGCCCCACACGCGCGCGCGAAGGGAGTTCACAGGCGAAGCCAGAGGGAGTAAAGGACAGCGAGAGGCACGCGGGGCGCCAGGGGTGCCCTGGGAAGAAAAGTCGTCCCAAGAGTTGTTCCCCACCCCCCCCCCGAAGGGACGCAGCCACCCACCAAAGCCCCGGCCCAGCCAGGGAGCGACTTGGGGCTGGTAAGAGTCAAAACGGCGGGGGCCGCGGCGACCCACCAGCTGCTTCAGGTCCTCTTCCGAGAGCTCCGCGTAGCGGTACCGCTGCTGCTCGAACTCGTACCGGGTGGTTTTGGCCACCACCACCACCCGCGAGGGGCGGAAGCCGCCTTCCGGACGGCTGCCACAGCCCGCCAGCTCGCGCGGCTGCCCGTGCCCTAGGTGCCTCCGGTCGCCGTCACCGCCAAGCCGGGGCCGCGCGGCAGGGCCTCCCGCGCCTGACCCACGCAGCGCCGCCCGGCCGCCCGCCACGCGACAACAGCTGCCCAGCAGGAAGCCCCGGTAGCAAGTCATCGTCTGCCCGGCCGCTGCTGCAGGCTCGGGCTCCTGCCTGCGCACCCCGCCTCCAGGAGTGCGCGCAGACCGCACCGTCCCGGCCTTTAACTTAGCGCCGGACTGGCAGAGGTTAAGCGCAGGGACGTGCGTGGCCCGCGCCGCGAGGGGGACGTGCCCAGACGTTGCCGCGGGCGGGGAAAGCGGCGCGACTGGGAGGAGGGTGAGTCCCCGCCGGGGACAGGTGGGCGGGGAAGAGCGGGAGGCCCAAGGATGGTGGGTTTTGTTTGTTTATCCGTTTCCATTGGCGCCTGCGCAGTCACCTCTTCTCCCGCGGCCCTCCCTCCCGCCACGCCCCCTTTCCTACCGTCGCTCTTCGCCCACCCCAGGCTTACTCTGTCAGCCAATCAGAGCCCGCTGCGGTGTCAGCGCCCGAGGGGCTGCGAAGATTGGTCGGGACCGGGAAAAGAGGGGGAATTCTATTTGGCGTTCGAGCTGTCTCCAGAAATCCAGCTGGAACCGGTCTGAGGCGGCAAGGGGGCTGCGGGCGGGGTTTTAAGCGCCTGGCGGGAAAGCAGGCTCTGTTTTGTTGTGGTTCTTTCCTTATGCTGATCCCAGTAGACCCTACGCCCTCGGTGCTTTGTAACCATTGCTTGTTGGATAGCTGAAGTATCCAACCCAGGGCCAGCTGACAATTTGCGGCGGGCTGTAGTGTAAAAGGAAGATGCCGAGCCTTTAGTTCAGAAGGCATAACGGCTGTCAAGAGGACTTAAGAGCATTAAGCCGGGCTTGGAGTCCTAAGCGTGGGGCCCTCTGCCTGCCCTGCTGGCCACCAGAGCCATCAGCCAGGGGAGAGAAAGGTCGCACCCTCAGAGGAACTTGGAGGTAGAGGTAGAGGCATCAGGCCGTCTGGAGCATGTCTAGATGAGGAGAGAGGGTTGAAAAACTAGATGGGTCAAGAATGAAGGGTTAACAGTAAGTTGGACTTTATCCTGTAGGCTTTGAAAGCTTCTAACTGAAAAAGAGTTGAAAGCAATGTTTGGTGACTATTGATCTGGCTTTGGAATGTTGAATAGACAGGGATGCCAGGGGAAGGCAGGAGGCTGTTGGAATAGTTACAGAGGGAAAGATAAAGACCCAGGTTAATGGGAGTAATGGGAGGGCTGTGGATACAGCTCAGCTGGTAGAGTGCTTGCCTCACATGCATTAAGGCCCTGGGTTCAATCCCTAGCACTACCAAAAAAGAAAAAAAAAAAAGGAGTAGAAGGGAAAGGACATATTCTAAGGAAAGAATCAAGTGTTAGGGGCATCCTAGTGTTCAATACCTTCTGCTCAGTAGATCTTCTTGCTTTGACACTTTCTTTCTACACTTTGTAGCCCTCAGACTACCCAGTAAATACCTTTTGACTTTGGGCAGGTTATACTTCCTGGGCCTCAAATTCCTCCACTGTAAACTGAGATTAAAGTGGTGATTATAAGGTTCTACCAAGCTCACATTGACTCAGTGAATCTTGTATTTCTGAGCTAGCCACCAGCACTGGCACGCATTAACTGGTTCATTGTATTTTTCCAGTGCCTCCTGTGTGTCAGGTAGCATATTAGGCTGGGAACGTAAATAATTTAGTCTGATAGGTGTTTACTTCTAAAATTTTTGTCACTGACTCCTTCCCATTACGACTTTAACAACCTTAAAATAACTTATTAACTTCTGTGGCAGGTAACTTACCTGTAACTTGGATATCCTCAGGATCCTTCCTATTCTAACACATCATAATTCATTAGCTATTAGGAAGAGAGAAATCACAGATGACACTGAATTTTGAAGCCCGGGTGAATGTTAGTTAATCCATTTGACAAAAAAATGAAGTAGGAGAACCTGTTTAAGATCAAAGTTATGAGTTTTGTTGGGCATACGTGAATTTCAGAACTCTTTCTTTTCCACTTCACAAATAAAGACATTTTTGATCCTCTTCCATTTGACGCTACAAGTGTAATATACATTGACATCTTCTCAGGATGTCCCTTTGTCCGTTATTATGTTGGGTCCCTTCTCCTTGAAAATTGTTTCCTTAAGTTATCCTCTCCCATGTATCTTGAGTTCTCCCTCCTTACTGGATTTTCCCCTTCAGTACTTAAACATGCTCATGTCTATTACAACATTAAAATTTTAAAGAAAGAAGCTTATAAGCCCTAGTTTTTACTTATTTCCTATGTTCCTGTTGCTGCAGCAAAGATTTTTGGAAGAGTATCTCCTCATCAGTCATTGCCACATCCCTGCCTATTTTTCAGCCCTCAACTGGTTATGATCAAGAGTCCCACTACTTCACTAATTACTGCCATTTCAAAGGTTACCAAATGATGTGACTGAACTCAAGACATTTTCCAGTCCTTAAATTACTTGATCTTTTTGCAGAATTTGAAATGGTTATCAGTTTTTCTCTGGTCTTTTATTATGTCTCCCTGTATATCAGTCCCTAATGGTATTTCTTCCATCTCTTTTCCCTTTTTGAATTTTTCCTAAACCCATCTCCACAATCTATCTTCTGTCCTTGTTTCTTTTCTCCCTCTTTCTCACATTCCCTTGCTAGCCCCCTCCACTCCTGAGTGAACTCCAGTGTTGTGCAATGAAAAGAGCTCAGGCCTTGAAAGACTTTGGTTCAAATCCCAGCTTTAACATTTATTAGCTTTGTGAACTTTGAACTGGTTGTTTAACTTTTCTGGGCTTACTTCTTCATTTATGAAACATAATAGCTACCTCAGAAAGTTGTAGATACATGCACAAATACCTAGCCCTGTGTCCATTAAAAAGTAAACATTGGCAAATATTTACCCCTTTTCCCTTTCCTGACTTCATCTACTCCAACAACTTTAGCCAGTATTTTCTCTTGGGCTTCAAATCCTCTTTCTTAGCTTCCTATCAGATAATATCTCTTTTGAGTTTTATATATACAACACCTACCAGTAGAAATCTCTTGGTAAGTGCTAAAGAATCCTTCCCCTTGAGTATCCTAAAATCTATGTAATAAGAGAGTTACCCACATAGTGCTTTAGGAATTTGGAGGAATACGTCTTAATTCAGCCTAAGAAGAATTAGAGAAAGCATTCTGGAAATACCAGGAGCTAAGTTCTAAAGAATGAGTGAAGCATTGGTATCAAGAGTGAGAAAGGAATTTTGCAAAAAGAAATAATATAAGCAGAAGCATACAAGTAATGAAATAGCATTTCTTAATTCCTAGAGAATTTAGAGAGGGATAAGCAACACTGGGATTCAAGCTAAAGATGGAGTAAAGACCTGGAAAGTGTTATATTCATACGTAGGAATTTGGCTTTTATCGTGTATATGTTAGGAAACAACAAAAAGAGAAAATGACAATTTTTAGCTTTGCAAAAATTATGAAGAGTAATTTCTTAGGAGGAACACAGCAGTGAATAAATACCTGGAAAGATATTTAATGGAAAATACAAATTAAGGTCACAAGGAAATAATGTTTTATATCCACTTGATTGGTAGAAATTAAGAAATCTTAGTAATACTCTGGTTGTTAGAAAACTATATCATCAAATCCATAGAAGCTAAACATTCACCAGTCATTTCAATAATTCCTCCAATGCCAAAGTTAGTGAATATCATAGAAATTTTAAATATATTCATGTTAACTCCAACTCTGAAGTCAAAAATTAACTAATACTATAATTATAATCTGACTGTTGGGGTTGGGGGGAGAATTCTGACATTCATTCATGGATCTAATATCAGTTTCACATATGCTCAAATAACTAAAAAAAATTACTGGGTACAGTGGCAAATGCCTATAATCCCAGTCACTCAGGACTCTGAGGCAGGAGGAGGGCAAGTTCAAAGCCAGCCTTAGTAACTTAGCAAGCGCCTAACCAACTTAATATCTCAAAATAAAAAATCAAAAGGGCTGCCAGTATAGCTCAGTGGTTGAGTGCCCCTGAGTTCAATCCCTGATACAGAAAACCACTGTAATATTATTGAGTTTCAAATTTGAACCCATCTATGATGAAGCTGGTGAGTTTTTCTAGTGAATGAGAGTTTCAAACTTGAACTTCATCAATGGTAAGGTTGGTATATAGAGCCTAGCCAGCCAAGTGATAACCACATTTTAAGCAAGTTTAATTGTTCTCAAAGTTTTTTGGGGGGGAAATATTATATATCATTGTGATATTCATAATTTAAAGATTTACAGAGATCATAAGATGTATCTTTCCCAATTCCTAGAAACTGTCCATCTCATTTCATATATAGCTGACTCTACAAAAGACAGCCTTCAATTTTCATAATCAAGGAAGACTAGTAGAGGAAAGGGACCAGGGAAAGGGAGGAGGAGAGAGAGGGGGAAATACTGGGGAATGTATTGAACCAAATTATATTGTGATATCATGTGCATGTACAAATATGTAACAACAGATCCCACTACTATGTATAATTATAATGCACCAATAAAAATATGGAGAAAGGATGAAGATATATACCTCTCTTTTATGACATTTGCATTCTTTGAGACTTTTATAGGATGTTTTCCCCTGGGGACTAAGTATTCTTGCTTCCATAGTAACAAATGTAAAATAATAATTGTTTCAAGAAAAAACATTTTAACAGCCCATAATTAAGCTTCAAGATTGGGGTAAAATCCTATTGAAAGATAAGATTTAAATTATCTTAATATAAGATTTATACATAGATAACTAATATATTTTATTCTAGTTAAGTAAATTTTAATATAAACAACCTCTGTGAAAATCGAAAATGTAGGCTTTGAAGTCACATAGCTAAGTAACTTATGAAAGTGAATACCATTGTACAATTTGATCTCTTCGCATTAAAGAGGGTCAAAGAACATAGAAAGCCAAAAGAAGATGGCTAGATGCAACATAAGACAAGGGAAAGCTATAAATTTTTTATTTCTGTCATTGAAATGGGTTGAGAAGATCATGAGCTAAACATCATTCCTGCTGTCCCTCTATATTCATTGTCCAGACACCTTCACGTCTTCTCTCTATGCCTTCCTGATATTCTAATCCTAGTTTGGTTCTCTTGCACTGGTATTTCTACATAGAGCACAAATTAGATGGTCTTTTTTTTCCCTTTGATATATGCAGAGAAATCCAAAGAAAATGATAGAATTCATTAAACTTATATTGAAATGTTTGGGGTATTTATAAAATATTGCTTCATATCCACATTAGCAT